TGGTTTATTTGCAGGTGTTGTTGTGTCGTTATATTTTTGGGCAGTTTTAGCTGACAGTTACGGCCGCCGCTGGGTTTTATTGGTATCAACATCACTTAGTACCTGTGTTTCATTAACATCCGCGTTAATGCCAACTTTCCCTCTATTCATTGCCATGAGATTTTGTGTTGGCCTTTTGTAAGTGTTTTGATTAAAAAGCAAGAACAGTACGAAGAAATATGATTTTGTGCTTGTAACATTCGAATGTAAATTCCCGGATACCTTATGGAACGAACTTTTATATCGCCCCTCTCAAAGTCACATTCCAAATTGATAGTAACGTAACGTCAATAATTCATAAGCTATCGTAATGTAACTCCGCCTATTTTATTCGCTGAAGACAATGTTGTAGACTGATTTCTGACTATTTACTCCTAGAATTTTTATTCATTACTTTTATTTATTGTGGCTCCTAAAATTGTTATCCTTAATTAACGCGTCAGATAAGCAGGCAAATGTTTGCTAAGCTAACGCATTTTTTCTTCTATTCTTTTGGTGATTTTTAGTATAGCTGGTCCTAGTTTTGCAGCCATCACTTATTTGGCCGAATTCTGCACTTTTTATCACCGTCGTATTACTATCATATATATGGCAATGTTTCAAGGTATTGCTATGGTTTATTGTCCCGTCATGGCGACTCTCTTCATCCACCAAAAATGGACATACGATCTTGGTTTTATTGTGTATAAACCGTGGCGATTTTTAATGCTTCTGAACAGTCTTCCCGGTCTTGTAGGCATTTTCTTGCTAATAGGACTGCCGGAAAGTCCGGAGATTCTCTTATGCACCCAGCGTAAGCAGAAATGCATTAATGTGGTGAAGTGGATATATCGAGTGAACAAGAGGAAAGAGATGGATTGGCAGGTCGAACCAGAAGATCTTAGCTGCCCAGGCTATAGAATTGTTGATAAACAAACTTGTGTGGAATTAATGAATCAAGGCAGGCCACTTTTTAAAAAACCTTATGTAGTACCATTTCTGAGTAGTTGCGTGGTGATGTCCGGCCTATTTTTCCTGTAAGTCTGTCGACTATTTTTTATACTTACATATGACAGAGCCAAGCCTTAACGTCTAATATTTTGTTTTCCGCAATTTTGATTTATATCGTAAGCGGCAATGGCCTAGGTATATGGTTTACTGACTTACGCAATCGTCGCATAGATGAGGATCTCGAATCATACACAATTTGCGCGAATATGCGAAGATTCAAGGAATTCTACAGCGAACTCGATGGCTGCCAGGTAACTCTTAAAAGTTTTCGCGATTCCATGTTCCTGGGTGCGACGTACTTAATAATGTTCAATGGGGTGGCCCTGCTATTGAGAAATGTTTCGCCTAAAATCATTGTAGTTGCTCTTCAAATATTGTGCTTTCTTTTGGGCGGCGTACTACCCTGGATCGCCCATGAAACCGCTACCTCCGTTATTTTTATCATTTTCCTTGCAATACCAAATTGTCTAATAGCTTTAGTTAGCGGTATTGTAATTGAATTCACTTCAGCTGACTTGAGGTATTACCTAATTATATTGTTTTCAAATATATACTATATGTTATTTATATAGAGGTAAAGCTGTATGCTTATGTATTTTAATTGGTCGTTCTGGTATGATCACCGGTACATTTCTTGTGGGGTATGCAATGGATGCGAATTGCGAATTAACGTACACCTTGTTCGGTCTCTATGCATTAGGTAAGTTTTTTTCTTTTATAAATATCCACTGCTTAAAAACACGGGTACGATGATGGTATGTTTACAGGATGTTCTGTTGTAAGTGTTTTGTTACCGGGCAAATGGAAATGCTTTAGATTAATAGCTGATCAGCCGGAATTAAGAGCTCGATCTATGTCAGTGCTAAGAACACGATCGATGGCACGTCCAACGCAAATATATGATACTTTGATTAAAAAATAATGTTGCACGTTATGCTGTTGGTCTCAAGAATACCTAGATTCGAATTTGCAATATTTCGTATAAATTTGTTTTTCCCTTCTATTGTAAATAAACGAAGACCTTTAAGAACGTTTATATGCAAAAACAGACAAAATAGGAAAATATATAAAAAGAATCAATTTGTTTTCAAGAATTGTATATGTTGCGTTATAATTTGTTTTTAAATTTCGTTTAGAGAAGTGTTTCACTCAAATCCAAAAATTTACATTCGAAGCTTTTTTCAAGAAATCTGCTCACAAAAAAAGTGTCTCTAGCAACAATTATTCACTATCGTTTCTTAAATTCTAGATGAGTCGTGACGGTAAGTGACGGTCGGTCGTCGTGAAACGGTGAGCTGTTTTGATTTTGTTTAGTTCTCTGATAGTGCAAATTTCTCTCACTAACAGAATCGAATACAAAACTCTCAACCTCTAGCAGAATCGAATACAAAATTCTCGCTATGACCATGCGTACGTATTTGTTGTAATCTTTATAAGTCTTAGCAAAAAATATTTTATTTCACTTTAGGCATAAACGGGATGACGTGTGTTATTCTTTGCCACTACGTCTTTAATTATATTCACCACCTTATAAGGGGCGATGTAAATAAAACAAATAATATTCAGCTGTTCGTGTCTATCTAACGTGTATTCAAAGTGGACTTATTTCCTATATTTGAATAAAAAAAAAAAATAAATGGTTATCAATATCGATCTTTTTTAGAAATATAACTCAACACAATGGTTGAAGCGGATTAAAAAGTCAAACTTTTGAAAAAAAACTAATTTCTACAATTGCATGCATGGTTGAAGAATGGTTTTTAAACCTGTCAATGATTGCTTTCTATAGTTGCCAAAAAATACCCACTGCACTTATAGTCAAAGTTTAATGTCGGAAAATCGCCTTTTAAGCCTTTTTAAATTTCATTCCACTTAAATGGTCCGCCGAAGACACAAGCGGATAAGTTAAATTACAAAGCATTATTATTTTTATAATTTATTTAGAGCAACACATGAATCCTGGGGCTAAAAGAAAATAAGACAAGACATCGACTCAACATAAATTGATTTCTCATTTTTCACATTTTAATTCTGAGCCACAAGTCACTTAAGCTGTATATTTTCAACTTCTTTAATTAAATCCTTATGTTTGAATTCCCTAGGTTTGTTGGTAAATGTCTCCAATAGACGTTGTTTCCCTTTATCTGTTTTGCAGTAAAACATTTGCAATTGGTTCGCCAAGCATTGAGCTTCCTGGCCGTTCAAAACTTTGCTATCATATTCACCGCGCATTAGTATTATGCCCTTCTCTCTGCACTCTGAATAGTGTGACAGAGTCAAGCATTCGGGCGCATTCTCGTTATGCACCTTGAACATAAGTTCTTTACTAGAAAGCCAAAGTCGTATGTATCCTTCTCACCTGATAAGCCAATAAAGGGGTGAAGTGCACGGCATTACTAGCAAATTGTAACATAATAAATTCAAAGCCTTCACTTCGCGGTAAGGGCAGCAGAAAAATTGGATGCTTCTTGGCTGTTTCCATAAGAGCATCGTAATGTTCAAGTGTTAGTGTGGCCGCTAACACATCTTTAGTTTTATGATATTCCAACCAAATTTTCGAGATTTCATCAGCATTTTTATCTTCAATTAATTCAGTTTTCATAACGTCCGATAATTTTTTATAAGGAATCTGATCGTTAGCTGGAAGGGGTGCGATAGAAGCTTTGGGATTTAACAATTCCGAATATGATCTAGGAAGAACACTTACTAAATTCAATTTGAGGGCAGAAATTAATCCACATACCTGGCTTGGGATTTGCCGCTCTTAATGGGATTAACTACTTTATCCACTTTTTCCAAAAATTCTTGCGGTGATGATTGCTGCAATTTGGATATTTTGTCTGCATATTTGTCGTAGTACGGATTTTTCTCTTTTATTTTTTCTAAAGCTTCTTGGGCACGCATTTGCGCTGACATGCTTATAGATCGGACAATATATTGTTGAGCTAAGAACAAAGATGAAGAGCTTCTGCAGAAAGCCATTCCCCCAAAATGCTACAAATTGTACAATTGTAAGAATTTGTCAAAAATTTGACATGTTATACAATGCAATTACACCAAATCTCCGTAGGACTCAGCTGTTTATTTAAAAGGCCGATATTACATATCCACAAAACAGATATGCATTTCCTCAAGAAATTGATAGCGAATTCTACGTTAAGTCAGTTGATTAAATGAAGAACTGGACAGTATGAATTGCGTGCATGCGAGAGTAAGTGTATAAAAATTTATATTGTGCACCGTGCAATCAAACTTCAAAATATAAATTGTTTGTATGCGTTCATATATAACTGAACGTGTAGCTTCTGCTGTATTACTGCAGCGCAGTCATGCGAGTAAATGGGAAAATTTTAGTGTTGCAACATGCATTTGTATTGCAAAGCAAAGCAACGACGTTTGTGGAAACAAATACAAGTGAACTCTGAGGCGCTATGTTCATATTCCTTGCGTACGTGAAATGTGGGTGTTCATCTTATATTTAAAACTTGGTAAACGATTATGTGGTAACGTCCTACGTATTGTCAATAATATAACATATTGCCAATAATATTTTGTAGAATTTCGAAATTATAAATTTTCTTTTGTGGACTGTAGACTTATGGCATGTTGGCAACCATTTTCGTCGTTCTCGAGAATTTTCTTAAATCAAATAAATTGTTAACTCTTTTGAGTAAAAATAAAGAACACATTGACTAAGATTTTTTAAATATTTTAAAAAGTTATAATAGAATATGTCAGGTACAGAGGCAGGTGATAAACGTGAACAAATTAACTTGGCTGCGCTGAGTGTTGAACAATTAGTTCAAATTAAACAAGAATTTGAGCAGGTGAGTGAGAAGTTATTTATTTATAAAATGTACATGCAGGCATATATATATATAATATTTATTTTAACAGGACATAAGTAATATACAAGATTCCTTGCAAACATTATACAATTGTAAAGCAAAATATGCTCTATCAAAAGAAGCACTGGAATCTTTTCATCCCGATTGGAAAGATCATCAAATTTTAGTACCATTAACCAGCAGTATGTATATTCCCGGCCGTATTAAGGATTTAGATAATTTTATACTGGATGTTGGTACGGGTTATTACGTAGAAAAGGTAAGAAATGGTTAAAATGATGTAGCGATTTATATTAATTTATAATATAGTTGATATCACATAAAGCAAAAAAATTCGAAAAAATTTATGAAAACGATGATTCTTTTAAGGTAAGCAGACTTTTTGGTCGTGTTCAAATCGATTAGCCAACTGTAATCAAGTGAATTATGGCAGCCTGTTTGGTTTAAAAATGTTCTAACATTTGATAGAAATTGGAAGAAAATACTGTGATCTTATTTTTATATAGAAGCAAACGGCTTGTTAGGACATCCACGTTTTTAATTATATATAAATATGCTAAGACAAGTCACGCTACATTTATCTCTTTCCAGAATTTAGAAAGCTCCAAGGATTACTTTAAACGACGTATTGAATATGTACAGGAACAAATTGAAAATATTGAAAAGATACAAATACAGAAAAGCCGTTTCCTAAGTGCTGTTAACGGTGTAATAGAAATAAAACAAATGGCCGCGCTTAAGCAAATGCAACAACAACAACAAGCGGCTTAGATAATACAAAACAAAAAATTATTTAAACGTAATGAACACGCAGACCAAGTATAATTTTCAATAAAAAAAAGAAAATTAAATGATTTAAAGACTTTCAATCTAAACATTTTTAAGTGAATGGTAAGTATAATGTCTAATATTAGTTAATTTGTCAAAATTTCGAAAATTATTTGCATTTCCCGATGATCAACTACTCTTTGAGTTTCTCCACTGTTTCGGTTAAAACTTTGATCTTCTGCTCATAAGCTTCCTTTAAATCCTATGAAACAATAAAGATCAGCTTTGAATATCATTTTGTTTGTTTTCGTAATCTTGTCTACCTTAAATATTTTAGACTGCAGGTCATATTCAGTTTTTAATTTTTCGTAGACGCTCTTAGAAATCGCTAATTTTTTTTCTGTTAGAGCACATTTATCTTGTTCGGCCTTAATCCATGCTTGCGACTGCTCCAATCTAGTTTGCATATGTTCGCATTCAGCAGTTTTTAAATTTAGCATGTCTTTAGTCACATGAGCTACATCTTTGACTGCCTCAATTTGCGTTTTTAAAGTAGCTATATGCTGCTCTTGTTGTTTGTTGACTTTGGTCTTTTCAAACAACAATGTCTTAGCTTTTAGCAATAATTCCTCTTGATCTTGTTTTGTTTTGGGTGCGTCGGTTCCGCCTCCCAACATAACTGATTGTTTCAGCGACTGCTCCAGCTGAAGTACTTTTCTTTTCAGTTTCTCATTTTCCACTAAATTTTCCTATTGGTGCCAAAATAAGTGCTTATTAATACTTAAATTTTTGCTGGACTAACCTCTAATTCTTTACGTAGAGCACCTAAACGTTTACGTGACTCCTCAATTATGGCCTGCTTTTCGCTTTCCAAAGCAAACACCATATCTAAAAGTTCATTGTTTTCCCTTTCTGCTGCTCCTTCCGCAGTAGAGTCTTCCTCTTTATGAATATTACTAACTGAATCTGCATTAATTTCGCTACTTTCTGCCATAATTTCAATCCGATATTGTTTTTAATAGAAATATGCGATTTTCTAATTATCAACACTTTTGTTCACACAATAATGCTTGTATATCTAACCTTTTCTTCTCGAAGTAGTTTCGACAGCAAGATTCTATTTTTAGGACATTTATTCTCTGCTGTAGCTAAATTTCTTCAAGGGAGAGAGTTTGCTTTTATAAAATCATGAAAGAGATACCCTATCACCCCATCCAATCATGTAAATATATTTAAACTTTTCAAACCAATATTGACATTTTAATCTATTTTCATCTTTTATCCATGGTTTACTTTTCGTTGATTTATGACTCTATGTAAAAAAAACATTTGATCACCTGTGACCGATTTTACTGCATTTAAAACTCGTTCACCCGAGAAAATATTTTAAGTTTATTTAATTTATAAAAAATGCTGTTCGCTTATACCAAATCATACTTAGTTTATTATTGATAAGCGAACGAATGAAATGTTTACTTTTTTAACAAACTTGTAAATATATTTCTTTATAGTTCCCCAGCGGCGCAAGCATCTGCATACGATTTTCCTGCCTTTTCTTCTGGATTCAGTTTGACCATATCATCAATACGCAATATGGTAATAGCAGCTTCAGTAGCAAATTTCAATGACTTAATCTTTGACATGGCTGGCTCCAAGACCCCGGCCTTTTTGTTGTCGCGTACAACGCCCTCAATTAAATCCAATCCTGTCCACTTAAAATGAGCGTGTTCTGCTTTTGTTTGGCTAGAATTGTGATAAGCCCTCAGTTTGGCTACTAAATCCGTAGCGTCTTTGGCTGCATTAACAGCCAAAGTTTTCGGTATAACTAATAGAGATTTGGCGAATTCGGCAATAGCTAGCTGCTCACGAGAACTCTGAGACGCAAAACAATCTATGTATAAAACAATTTTTTTAGACAATTTTTTTAGGTTACCAATGAAGTAGCAAAGTTTTCCAAATAAATTGATAAGGCAGCTTCGACGCAACCACCTCCTGCTACCACTTTCTTACTTTCCAAGACCCGCTTAACTACACACAGTGAATCATGTATGGATCTTTCCATTTCATCGCAATAGAAATCATTTGGGCCTCTTAAAATAATGGACGCTGCAGCTCTGGGAAGAATAACATGTTTATTTGCCGTAAGCGTTTTTACAAATCGCTAACCCACCTTGCCTTCGTGCCCTTAATCAAAATGAGTTCATCGTCGCAAACACACTCTTGGCATACCTCTGCTGCCTCACCTACCATTGAAGGCTCAAAACTTTCTTCACCTTCCATATTAGTAAGTGAAGTGACGAACGCTGCTCCTGTAGCCTTGGCTATAATTTTCAAGTCGCTTTTCTTAACACGACGGACAGCCATAGCTCCGGATTCGACAAAATACTTCATACAAAGATCGTCAATACCACCGCTACATAAAACCACATTAACACCTGTATTCAAAATCTTATTAATGCGTTCCTTAGTTATATCCAATTCACGCGCACGTATTCCTTCCAATTTATTGGGATCGTTAATTAATACTTGAACACCCATCTTCATTTTGGTTTTTTGCAGAGAAAAATCTAAGCAAGCTATTTTGGCATTGACCATTTTTTTGGTCATTTGCTGAGAAGCTAAAGTACAGTTTAGGGCGTAGCCTGGTATTAGAACAGATTCGCGTGCAGATTTTCCATGGGCCTTTAATACGTTGACCGCTTTAATTGAATAAGCAGGATTACCCTTGGCGTCGGTAATCTAACGAAACAACAAATACCAGAGATTTTCAATGTATGTTTACCTTTTTTCCCCTAAAAACTAACCTTAACAGCCTGAGCTGCATCGACCGTCATAGCCGCAAAATAGTCAGCGTCTGCTCCTATAATTTTGGAACTCATCGAAGTTTTGGCGATATTAATTAAGGAATCGCGACCTAACTCGTCAACTGGTGCGGTTAGATGTTCGGAAATGTATTTACAAGCTTCTTTGCAAGCCAAACGGTAACCGGATATAATCGAAGTTGGATGTATTTTCTGTTTAACTAATTCGTCTGCATTCTACAAAGAATAATCAAGACTACTAAAGAGTCCTTAGAAAAACCAATTGAAATTGTAAACCTTAAGCAGTTCAGCAGCTAATATTACTACCGAAGTTGTACCATCGCCTACTTCTTCGTCTTGTAATTGAGCCAACTCCACTAAGACTCTACATATTAAAAATTATATGTTTTATATAGAGATCCAAATTGATATAAATGACACGTACTTAGCTGCAGGATGCTCAACTTCTAATAATTTTAGAATAGTAGCGCCATCGTTGGTTACGGTAACATCACCAATATCATCAACCAACATTTTATCTAAACCCACCGGACCGAGGGAACTTTTAACTATGTTAGCAATTGAACTGGCCGCCATTACTACAACAATTCGAAACAACGAAAGATTTATGTTTAAAGAATTAAGGCGTACTCATTCGCACATCAAGCAATCGAAAACATAACCTCATTTAATTATGCCTTATATTACGTTAAATAATTTTTGGAAGGATTGCTTCCAAATGGATCACTACAATAAATGTCATATTAAAGCTTTTAGATTTCACGTTGCTTTAATAATTTTGCCGGTTTAGTCATCAAACTACTGAAGGTAGATAAACATGGCATCTGTTTGCTAAAACACATTCCCCTTACCATTTTGGGTGCGAACCGAAGCTCCAGAATGCCTAGTGCCAGCAATCGAGAGAGGACTTGCAATTGACGACATGTTGTTTATAATAATACTTTCAAATTTTTATATAAAATTCACAAATTCTCGCGACTCTACTGCTTTTGTTAACTTTCTGGAATAATGTGGTTTGTCATGTGAAAAACATGTACATTGGCTTCACTGCAACTGTGTGTGCAGTCAAGTGAGGGTTCTAATAAAATCTGAACTAATAAAACTAGTCCAACACTCTTTACTAAAACAGTGATGTTAACATGTTTATTTACGGTATTTGTGGAACTCGGAAGGTTGTGGAATTCGGAAGGTTGTGAAACTCGGGAGGTTTATATAAACCGCTGTGATAAAAGCATCCTCAAAGTAAGCAGCCTGACAAAACGCCTCGTTTTCATTTGTAGTAAATACTTGAACCTAAATTGGCGTTAATATTCAGAGCAACAAATGCTATGAATTCAATGAAAGATGTCACGATTTTCGCTCTTTTGAAAAACCAGTTTTTATCACAGCAACCTTGTTAAAAATCTTAAATTTCTTTTCTTTCTGAAAACATATTGTGAAATATCTAGCCTGAAAATAAGATTTTTAATATGAATAAATATTGCCAAAAAGTACAAAGACATATTCTCAACTATAAAGAAATTAATAAAAAGCTATATAACACTCATTAATGCACACTCGTGAGAATACCTCACGTAGAACAATTATAAAAATATCGGTTTCCGGAAGTATTTACGTATATTTGTAGATGATATATATTAACTTCTCCAATTTCGCTTTTAGATAAATTTCCTTTAATGCCAACCTATTTTAAACCCATCAGTTCTTGAAAAAGATATCCTCAGGAAACTCTATTATTGTATATAATGATTTTAGGAGATAATCATGTAATCAGGCGACAATCACCAGTAAAATTTATTCATGTAAGCAAATTTGCTGGTGATTGTCGACAAATGTGCTCGCTATGTTATGTCAAATCTGGCGACAGTAAAATTGCTGCCCTTGAGAAAAAATTTGTATTAACATTGCGCATAAGCCAAGAAAAGTTGTCAAAAATCTCTTTTAAAGTTGCGTCATTAGGAAAACAGGTGTAAAAGTAAAATATAAAAAGCAATTAGAAGAGGAATGATTTTTCATGTTGAATATTAAAATTTATGCGCAATAAATGGAGGAATGTTAACTAATGTGTACATTTGTAGTATACCGTAACTTCCTTTTACAGTCGTTTATTGGAGAGAGGAACAAGGACAACCGCGATGCACAAAAAAGAGCACGCTTTTCAAAGCCATTTATGTATTAGCAACTTATTTTTATTTACACAAGTATATCCATTTCACATGGCGAAAATCATGGCTGTCAATTTCAAATTTTCCAAGATTCGCATTTGCGGAAGCACGTCGGTGAGAGAGCTTACCTGGAAAACCATTGGATTGGGCATGATAATAATGCGTGGCGGCTCAGTAAATGATAAAAAAATTAAAGAGCCAAAAAATTCTTCATATTTTCAATTTTTTTTTAGGTGATAGTGGATACCACTAGAGCCTTGGCCAATGACAACTTCGGCGGAACCCCTAAAAAAATACAACAAAGACCATAGTAAGGCGTGAATGATTGTGGAAAGTCGCATTGGTGTGCATAAAGATTAGTATTGCGATATTTAGTATTTCGTAAATATATCCATAGTTTTTGGACATATCTCTGCGCCGCTGGCGTATCCTGCAGGAGGAGCGCAAGAGTTGCTGCAGTACAAAGAACCTGGGAAGAGTCGCAAACGTGTGTGCAAAGCTGCGCAATATTTGCGTCCACTACAAAGTGGAGGGAGGTCGATCATATGTATATTTTAGCCCACCAGGCGAGCTATGATGGTGTTAGCGTTTGTGTGGAATTAAGGCAGTTAGGAGAGGAAGTTATAATGCACTGCAATGGAAATTTTGATGGGAAATATATACTGGAAAGTTGGTGACTATGATACACCATTGGCCTCTTGACGATAATCAATTATCTCCCCAGAAAAAAAAAAACCGAACAGAGAAAATCGCCTGATCATCCCCAAGTGCATCACAGCATAATATCCGAGCTAGAAGTGCATCGGGATGCTGTTACGAAAATCAACTTGTTAAAAAGTGAAAGGAAGTGAAAACTGTCCGTTTTTGCGAATTGGGATTTTCTAAAATTTTGAGAAAGAGAGCATATACAAGCGAATTAGGTACAGGGGATTATCAAAAACTTGCGATAACGAATGAAAGGAGAAAATCAAAATGAAGAGTTATCACAATAGCATTGTGAAGACGAGAACTTTTGATTTCTATTGAACCATATATAGCGTAACGTTGCTAATGACAGGACAACCTTGCGTTTATTTTTATTTTAAATTTATTGCACGTTTGCTTTGTACCGTACAACCTATAGCGAATAAACCTTTCCTTTTTTACTTACAATTTTATAGGAAAGAAATAAAAAAAGTATGTGAAGGGCTAAATGAAAGCCTGAGAAATTGTTTTTGTTAAACGTACCGCACATTACAAAGCGTAAATAAAATTTGTAAGAGAAACATTGAGAACTGCGTTAGTTTTGTTTTCGAAAGAGAAATAAATTCGGAAAACCACAAAAAAGAGAAATGCTTTGCGGACCTTAAGGGTTTTAAGGGCTAAACACATGCATACATATGCAACGGAAATGCCAAAACATGAGAATGATTTTAAGCGCTTACGTCCAGTTGAACACGTAGCTGGCATATATCGCTGCATTGGCATTGGCACGCAAAACAATCTCAAAAAAATCAAGCAATAACGTATAATATACGCTAACTAAGTAAGCTCTACTACAGCAGACATATTCCTGATATCAAAGCTGATTGCTAATTTTTTTTTCACGGTGAACAAGTTGTTGCCGTTGCCGAGAAGTGAAGGAATTCCTTGTTCAATAATATCTGGGGTATGTATGCTAACAAGTGACGTTTTGCGTTGTTTGTTGTGAGTGTTTGCTAAATGTCCACATATGCGAACATAAAATATACCCATCATATAGTTCACTTAAAGCACACACACTGTCTCATAGATGAAATGGTTAAATTTTGTTGTTTACCTTTTTTTGTATTTACTATCAATGTTCCTGTAATTGAACACAAAAGCCTCTTTGCTTCAATCAACGACGGTCGTTCATTGTCATTGTTTAATCACGTTGTCTACGCTTGTAGGTATGTGAAGACCTATGTTATTTGTGGTTACAGGTGATTTCCGTCAATATTCCAGAAAAAGGATGAAAAGAAATTGAATTATTGTAATGAGAAAAAAAAAGCAACGTAATGGGTACGGGTGCATGAAAAACACAATAAGTAGAGAGGACAACAGACTTCAACTACATTACATTAGTGTGACCCTTGGAAATTGAAAGGAATAATCGAATCCTGATTCTTGCTTTCTACAACTTACAAAGTTTTCTTGTTAATATATTTAATTAGGTGGATGGTTTGCTCTGTGCTTACAAAGCGTGTGTTACAGAGTATATGTAAGTTGCTAGCGTGCATGCACATATGTGTACATATATATATGTATATATATTTATATATATATACATGTATATATTATATATTTTTTTCTCTTCGTTTGTAAGAATTTTATTCGTTATTTAACTCCATCGTGACACTTTTCATTTGAAAAATGTAGAAATTTATGTAAAAGAAATGTGGCATGGAATAAAAATATTTTTACATTTTGGTATTTTTAAAAACTATATTGATCGAGACAAAGTAAAAAATCTACATTGTTCTTAAAAAAGGCAATCCTCAGGTTACGGTTGTCAAATATTATTATTTTCGAAACAAGAAGAATTCGAATGCTTAGGTAAAATGATGAGGTCCCTGGGCGAGCTGACGCATATTTTGAGGGTGGCAAATCGTTCTGTAAAAATGGAATCGAAATGTTATAGAAGCGTTGCTCTGATTGTATTTCTTATGCTAGAATACAGTCGAACTTTGCATCAAGTAGAGAACTTATAAGTTTAGTTTATGGTTTGTTGACCGATGTATTAACTTCCCAGAATAATTTTTAATTAGCCGAGCAGCTGATTAGGTCAAGTGCGGTAATTGTAGTGGGTGCTCGGTCGGTAAAGGCTTACCGCTTTGGCACGCAACCATTATCGTCCTCCCTATCTCTTTATCTTTCTCCATCTTTTCGGACCGTCACACGTGTAACACGAATAGGAGACATGCCCTGAGTGATTGCTCATACACCAAGAAAATAGCGAATAAAGTCAAATGTTGTAATAAAGAGGCGAGATATGTAACACAGTGAGCTGTCATTGTACGTTTATTAGGAAACAAAGGTATGTTAAGATACGTAGGAATGTTATTCACGTTCTTAAATTAAGTAAACGAACAGAATCCACGGAATAGAGCGGTTGAAAAAGTTAGGAAAGTAAAACCAGATGAATCTAGCAAGCAATGTCTACTACTACGGACTTGCTAAAAAATGTACACACACAAAAATCTCCTTCAAAAACACACACTTCGAATGTATGTTCTGTGATGAGTAAACGTGTGTCATATGATTTCTTTCAAGAGAGCTAAAAACAATTTAACAACTCTTTGAATGCTTTTGCATAGTTCTCTTATAAAGGGAAATGTCCGAATGATTTCGTGAAAGTTCGTTGTAACGCGAAAGGATGAGCAACAATGAAAAACGCAGTAAAGGAAAAAAAGTTGAGTAACGAGTACTGATGGTACTTAGTGAAATTTTTTACTTCTTCATAGAGATAAGCATTCATTCATCAGTTTACATAGGAGTTAATCGGTCACATGTCGCTCGCTATCAAAAAGTTATAACCTAACGAAATACACGTGATACGTACGTACGTAAAAAATTTTAATGAAACTGAACGGCGTTAGCGAAAGTAGAATTTCTTGGCAATGTGTACGGATTTTGAGAATAAAAATGAATAATTAACGCGAGAATAAAATAACAGCAAAAATGTTGCCTATCTACAGTTGCTTATTAAAAACAAAAATGTGAAGTGTGCTAAGAAGCTGATTACACGAGTAAATTGTATTCAAATTTAAAGATTCTTTATTTATTTTTTTCTTTTTAATATAAATAAAGGCATTTCGTTGCTTTGCAGTTTCTTGCTCTATACATATAAATCTAAAATTGAAAATCAAGACAATTGCGTTATATTTGTAAAACTTTTCTGTTAATTGGAAAAAACTTGTCCTAATACACGTTATTGCGGATCGAAAGTATATTTCATTTCAGCTGCTTTGTCTGACCTCTTTTGGATTATTCAACTGTCACAATTTAGCCGCACGAATAAGTAAGTAGTTTCAAACTGATTCAACTCTGATTACTCTCTACTTTCCTGATTGTGGGCAATCGAACGAGTGATTACAAAAAGCTTTACCATTAGGAACTAAGAGGAATGGCGAAAAAATAAATATTCGGATAATATTCGAAATTGTTAATATCCACTATCAGCTGCAGTTTCTATTTACTTGTATACAAATAAAAATATTTCGGTGTTGGAACAAATCACATATGATAGATAGAACGCAGTTGATAGAGTATAGCATCCTATTAGCTAATTATCTACATTAACATCTACACGTGAATGGAGCACGTGGTCACGTGGTGATATGGTCTCGACATATTTTTCTAATCGAGCGCTTGTTTTATGTGATATGTTCCTCTTTAGTACTACGAGAAAACAGATAAAGAAAATGTTCCTTTTGGACTTTTCTAATATTAGAGTAAAGTTAAACTTGCAGGTGAAACCGCTTTTTTTCCATTTTCATTGAAGTCATTCTCGGTCCTTTAAAAGTTCATTATGCGGGCAGTATTTTTAAGGTCAAAATATTGTCTTTTGTTTCTTGCTTTTTGTTTGTTGCAAGTGATTGAATACACACATGATAATCCGCATATAACTACATTGTTTATCAGCTCATTGAAAAATGCTCTTCTCAATTTAATGTTTTTCTAAGTAAATTATTGGTTTAATATGAGAGAGATATTTTTGCTACGCTATATCTATTTGCGACCCTTTGGCGAATATATGAATTTAATATAATTTGATTTCGTTGCAATATTAATTGGGGTAATTTGATATCTTTCCAACCTGTGCTCATGTTTTTTGTAAATATGTTTTCATGTGAAATAGGCATACACCACCGTCCCACCACAAACTACTTCAGCATATTTAAAGCTAAAGGCTTAGAGATGTAAGCAATTTTGAGAACTACCTTTTCTCAGAAAACACAAAGAAGTGAAAATATATATAAATTGTGAGATAACCATAACCTCCTATATGGTCAATATATAATTATATCACTTTATATGTCGACATTGATGTGTGCCAATATATTGATTAGCCACAATTACATATATGTAGCCGCATCATCTTTTAAAATGTAATAATGTGCAACGATTCTGATAAAACTTATGTTAGATAGAATTTTCATATTGTTAGGGATAATTCAATTTTTAATGATGACTTGCATTCGCACTTGTTCTAATATTTCATGAACATGTCTTAAAAATTTTAGTTGCATGCAGAAAAGAGGATCGGTGTAGCTCAAAGGAATCTCGCCCTATCTCTTTATTTCTTTCGTTTGGTTGAATTTTTCATTGCTTACTTATTGCCTTACTCTACGTTTGTGTTTGTTTCATCGGAGCGGTTGTAAGAAAATTCAATGAGTAAGATAGGGTGCGATTCATTTTTAAGTGATCATAATAATCGCGAGCAATTTCACAATCAATCAATGCAAGCCCTGATAACTGGAGTATTCGCTAACAAGTAGGAACGACCCGTTGCTCTTTTTTTTTTTGGTTTTATGGGACTTTAGCGGTATACGCATGATTTTTTATACGTAACAGATGGATTAGATAACAGATAGATGAAAAGCTCGTAATATTATGCGGAGAGTACATATTTCTATAGTTTCCTTAAGGAAACCTTAAGACATATTTCAAAAAAGTCATTAATAGTTTATTGGTTAACTCACAAAAAATTTTTTACGACTTAACAATCAACTTTTCATGTTCTGGTGGTATCTGTTGAGACGTTAATCCAGTTCTTACTATAACTTCTTCCTACTTGTAATACGCACATTGCGCATTGAAATATTCCTTGCAAAACTAGATAAGTTACTATTACGTTCGTTTATATAGAATCTTAAGTAAAACACTTGTCAATTCATCTATCGTAATTATCGTGCCTTAGCGTATACTGAAACGTCACTAATGTTAGGGAACTTATTTTGTTCTTGGTATCACGTGTATAGGCGCGATCGAATTTGTGAAAGCGTCCTGGGAAGTGTCCCCATTGCTGCCAACAGAACAATGCCACCCCTTTTAGTCCTGCCATATACGAATTCTGATGTCAAATTTGTTGCTTTTCGATTAATTAAGGATAGGTAAAATTTATCTCTATGTATTAATTATTATTGATTGTATTTTAGTATTGGAAAACGACAGACGACGTAGGTTGCCGTGCTATCATCTCAGATAGTTTAACAACTATCAACAATATACGAGATGAATTATATCTATAATTTAGATGACAAAGTTCTCTATCTTGCATTGTCAGGCTTTAGGAATTTAGGAAAAAGATCTGGTTAGCAGCATAAAGGTTCAAATTTATCGAACCAGAGATATACGCGCCCATGTATACGGTACATTATGTAGGTTTAATCAGACGCCGTAAAGCGACGCGTTAACAATGATATATGTCAAATAATATCTGAGATAAGCAAACTAAGCCGGGTTTCATAATTTCCTTTGACTGCTTTCGCAATCATAAAACTGAGCAATTTGTTGCAATTATTTCAGGACAAATACGAATATGAATATTTTAATATTTTTTAATATCCACGCATCCATATATCTCTGTATTATAATGCAAACATTTTATGCATACTTAAAAAGCAATTTATAACAGATCAACTATAGATAGATATAAGTGATATGCAATATGTTTAATGCATAAGCATTTATTGTGGGAAAGAACTAATATATTTGATGTTGGCTCGATTTCATGCGCGCTTCACACATCCTTTCATATTAAATTCCCGGCTTATGCCATTTATGATAAATGACGAATAAATAAAAATAAAAGGTTGTTTATGAAAAAGGTTAAAAATACTTATTATTTTCTATTCCTTTTTTCTAAATGCTTCCACAAGAGTATTTGCCGTTACTTAAATCAACGCTCTCTCGTGTTCTAATGTACTTCAAAATGTCGGACATACTAGCGAGCTTTGTTGACAAGAAAAGCCTAAAGGACCGTTTAATGAGCTTATGTTATATCCATTGTATCTACGAGCAAATAATTTAGTTACATTTTGTTTTTAATATTTACACTTTAATTTTTCATAGATATTTTTGGATCTGCGAGCGCCTTTCTTTCTGTTCTGGTTCTTTTAATGTTCAATAATTTATTGATATCCTGCAGACAACTTGCAGTCACTGCCATTTTTCCTTTCAAATACGAAAGTATTTCTTTTTCTCAAGTTCGTACACATTTGTGCGCTCTCGACGTATGTGCAGATATGCTTTCATTTCATGGAAATTTACTGATTTACTTTTTTATCCGTAGCTATTTCTCTATTACGCTTACGCAAGACAATCATTTTCTTATTATATAAATAGATATGAGATGATTCTGTTTGAATGTATAAATCAAGCTGAAGTCGATTCTCGTATTCATTATAAGCTTTGTTTGCTATTAGCGTGTCGTAGAAAATATTTTAGGTATATATATATATAGTTGTTGCTCCGATGTGACTGATGTCATAATTTAAATTTTGTTTCATATCAATCTAAAAGACAAAAAAATTGCAAACGTCAACTCTTAGTCCTTACTCGTCATGTAACTTTTTCGTATTATTCGGGCAGGAGCATGCACATGTGTGAAGTGTATAAAAAAAATATAACTCAATGAAAATAATTTTAAAAAAGCAACTGTAAAGAATCGATTTTGATGTTTGGGTGAATTTAATAAACATCACATTGAGCATAAACTAATTTAAGACATTTTTCAATATTATTAAATAAATTCTCTCATTTAAAAAAGCATAAAGTTTGGGCAAAAGTACAACGGCAGTGTTGGCTTGTGTAGGTTACTACATAAAGAATGTTTATGCAACTTATTACAAATTATCTTTCTTTATGCTTTGTAAATTCCGGAGTGGCACATGTAGCCGTCTTTTTCCCTATATTTACAAAAATGTATAAAAATAGTAATAAGTCTGCTATGACTTAACAATTTTCTCCTTATTAGTATCTCAACAAGCTCTTAGTCATTACATTATAAAAGTTGCCTCAGACCTCAAGTCTCCGTGTCAAGTCTCAGAATTCTGTCTTAAGCCAGCTGTCACTAAGCTAGCGATAGTTACACCATATTTTTATGCCAAACTTATAAGAACATGCAACGAAAACAATGCAGCATTTACTATAAACAAAATGTGAGCAACTTTTCTTTGAGTTTTTTAAAAATTTATTGAAGCCTTTCCACTTAACAACTAAGTTCTTAGGGCATTAGAGAGATTGATCAGCTGATACGTACTAGCGATATTTAATTTGTATGTTAAGTATACGCTAAGATAGCCAGTCTATTTAATTATTGCTCAAATTTGCATTAAACTATTTATTAGTTTATCGATTTCAGGTTAATGCAATGAATGATTCTATTGACACAAGTAAGCTGATTTTGGTTGCACATCTTAAACATGCATATGTAAAATTCAGCAAAATCCACTTTTGCAGAACATAAGTAATTTTAATTCACAAAAGTTTAGACAGTTGACGCTGCAAATGAAGCAAAATGGTAGCATTTTGTCCTCAATTTATGTAAGCCTGTATAAAAAAGTTTTTATATATATATCTAGAACGTTATGCTTGCAAACGATAAACTGTTTCTAATTGTTGCAAGGAATTTTGACAATCAGCTCTAGTCAAAAGAAGTATCTATTACTATTTTAGCGAAGAGGAAAACTCCACTTCTCTCATTTGCCAACTACCTATCGGGTCACCTGTAAATCGATGAGTGTGCTAACTTAACTAATGTTTGTTGAATATGATGAGATGAAGTTTTCATTTGTTCAAGTCGTTGGAAAACAATTAGTTGGAAACGTGTATATTTTGTGGATGGATAGGAGTGCGAATGTAGCGTTGAATAGCGTTTAATGGACCCATTTACAGTATCGTGCTGGGATGAATATATCCCGGTTTAAGCATTGGGGAAATTCGGGTATATGGAGTGATGGAATATGTATATATCCTCTTAGCGGTTTCTTGCAATCTTTTCACACGTTTTGCAAA